CTCCTACTAGCAGGTTTGTATCATCTGCATACTCCGTTAGCAGAAAATTTGGGGTAAGACATTCGCTGTTAATGTCATTCATAAAGACTATAAACACAATAGGTCCGAGCATACTCCCCTGTGGCACACCTACTGTGCTTTGCCAAATTTTTGCTTTGTAGGACATACCGTTCTGGCGTATAATCACCTTTTGGGTTCTTTCATTTAAATATGAGCGAAAACACTCAAGAGCGCGCCCCCTGATCCCATAAATTTCTAGTTTTTTCAGCAGTAAATTTTGATTCAGACAGTCAAATGCCTTTGAAAGATCCAAGAATATTCCTAGAGCCATGTCGCTGGCCTCCAGAACAACTTCAAATAACTTTGAGAAAGCCGGTAGTAGGCTGATGGGTCTGTAGTTATCTAACATGTTAGAATCGCCTTTATTCTTATAACATGGTCTAATTGTAGACAACTTTAGAGATTCAGGAAACACTCCTTCTCTCAGTGAGTTCTTTATGACAAAGCAAATTACCTGGGTTATAGCCGGAATGATCTGACTCATAAGACTTGTGGGCAATTCATCGTCACCTGATTTTCGACTATTTCCGGTTGATTGACTGGCTTTAAGAATATGAATCTACGATTTTCCTGGATATTGTGCGTCCATTCAATATCGGGTATTTTTTTTATTAGATCTGGAATGGATTCTTATAAGAACTCGTTATATCTGTTCGATAATTCGTCTGGCTCTCCATCAATCATGGCACCGTGCTTGCTTGAATTACCTGATATTTCGTTATAAATAGTCCACATGCATTTATTTTTATTGTCCTAGTTTTGTATCCTCTTAGCATAACTCTCTGCTCTGACTGTAGTCAGCAACTTATCATATGCTTTTTTCACCGTAGAATAAATTTTATTATAATTATTATTCCGACGTTTTAACATCAATAGAACATCTAGTCTATTTTTTAATTTTTGTATTTCTTCATTATCGGTATAGAGAGTATTTGTTCTATGTTTAGGGTTAAATAACTTTTTCGGAAAACATTGATTAAAAATTGCCAAAAAAGTGCTCATAAAAATTGACCATTGCTTATTTACATCGGCCACATCTATTGCATAAACTTCTAACCATTGTTGTTGATTTAGAATATCGAAAACCTCCCTTCGACTATCCTCACTGAAAAATCTTTTGAAGTAGCATTGCTTTGTCGGCTTTACGGGAATTTTACACTCTAATACTATTTGTTGTGCAGTGTGATCCGAGATGACTGTATTTAGAATATGACTCGAGACCCTGCATTTCGGAACATTTGTAAATATATTGTCTATACAGCTATTAGATGTTGATGTTATTCTTGTATTTTGATCTATTGTTTGGTACAGATTAAAAGATGGGCATCACAGATAAAAATTGCGTCCTGTAATCATTACATTATTAGCACGATCTTTGTGAAATGTGTTCTATTTATTTACTTTATATTAAAAAATACAGATCAGGCGCCGCCTGTTCGTTCAGTAGACGACCCGTCATCTGCTCGACACCTTCCAGGCCCCTCTGGCATGCAGGCCAGATTCCAAAATGACATGGAAAATGCCGCTTCGGCTGGTCCCGGGTAAGTTGCTTTCACTTACTTTTCCATTGTCCAACGAGCCGAAAACAAGTTTTGAAATAGATCGGGAAAAGGTGAGTATCGGTAAAAGGCCCACCTTATTGCATGGTAGTTTCCTTTTAAGAGTGGGGCATTTCGAGTTCTTTCGCGTTCAGTGTTTGTAGCGAATAGTGAAGGTACGTTGCATGTTTGACCATTCATCCCCGGCGGCATTTGATCGAGTTTGGCATTTTTAGGGTGAGCTACACAAACTTTAGCAATATGGCGTTGAGGCGCGTTTTGAGTCGCCTGCAAAGCCCCTGGAGTGCCGACCAAGTCGCCCCAAAGTAGGTGACTGAAACTCCTAGTTGGTTAAAATCATTTGTACATGGTGGCTTGTTTTTAAGGGCAGCCGCCGTGCCCCAGGCGAATGTTGATGGAAGGCCGATTCCGCGCTCGAATGGCAGTAATTTCTCGCAGAATAGGCCAGATTTGGTGCTGGTAAGCGGCAATTGGTTATTAGTTTCCTCATTGACGATGTTTTTTCAGAACCCCATGAACCGGTGGGGTAAAATTATGCCGCGTTCAATTGCCACCTCTGAACCATCACCATCTCTAGCCAATGCGCCGCCTTCGTCCACATCGGGTAATTATCTGCGTGCTTGTTCTTGACGCCCATTGGCCAATTAATGTGTTGCAGCACCAATATGCCCGGATAATGAGGTGGAGCAGGTTAACTCTCTGATCAAGGAGAGCCTGGGCCGGCACGCTTTGAACCTAATCCGTGAAACGCTTCTTGGGCATCAACCCTCAGGGACTTCCCATGAACAGTGATATAAAATGTGTATATTTTCATTAAAGGAAACTACCGCGCTTTTTACCCAAGGAATGAGTTTTACTTATTGCGGCTTCTGTTGGACGTTGCGCATGAATTTTTGCAGCACTTCAGTATTAATGTGCAACATTCAGTTTCAGTGCCGTGACTCCACCCTATCACACTAACCCACTGAGTTCGCGCATGCGCTTCCAGCAACGTCCAGTACCAGCTCCTACCCGGTACCAGCTCCTACCGATCCTAAGACCGCCTCTATCCACTACCCGTCAACTTTTCCCTTTAGGCGTTTGGGCTATGAAGAGGTTCCTGCCTATTGTCTGCCACAATCGCCTTTTAAGTAATGATTGCTGTGGTTTCAGGAACTTAGTCTTGACTCGAGTGGCTTCTGCTGATGAGTTCCGGCCAGTTTATACCAGGCGGAGGCGTGGGCGCCCTTCCAGCCGCCGATTGCCTGGTGAAGAACGCAAGGTAGGGGATTTTTTTCTTTACATACTTTTCCCAGCTGGAACTAGTTGGTTTCAGTAACTTTCGCTTTCTTCTGACCTCAACATTTTTTCTACGTCAAAGCATTCTGCTGCCTAGTAAAACTTGCAAGTAGCCAATTTTTTATGTGCAGACCACCTCGATTCAACCAGCTGCTGCGAGCTCCAGCAAAGCAGTTGAAGAGTTTCCAACAGCTCAAATCCCACGTGCTCCAACTTCGAACTCTTCAAATTTATCGCGATTGGGATCAGTTGCGGCCATACAAGTGTTAGCAACGCCGTCGCGCAAATTCAGGGACCATTTGCACGATCTTCAGCTGAACAAGAAAAATTACTCGAGTGCCAATCAGCTGCAGAGTGTTGCAGCTGCTTCTGCTGGTGAGGATATTGCCGATTTTCAATGGCTTCTAGTGAAAATTAATGAATTTATTCCAGGCTCTTCGAGCCGTTCTGCTGATTTGCAGCCGTCCAAGCCGATCACTCTGGATTCCATGGCGGCCATCAATCCGACACGTAAGGCAAACGATTCGATCAGTGGGTGTTGAAAAACTGCAGTTTAAACCTTTTGTAGCCCGACTGCCGAAATTAAAAGTCAAGCCTCGTTTCGGGGGCATCATCAGGTCGTTATTTCAATCTGTGCCAAGTCGTACCTATGAACGAATCAGAACGCCGCCTTCTAATAGTAGCCGCCAGACAGGGACCAATCAGGTAAGAGTATAGTTCCGTCAGCTGTTACGAGAAATATGGATAAAGTTGTAGATAACAAACAAATAGATTTTTACAAACTGCTTGTTGCGTATTTTGCCTCAAAAATGTTTGCCTTTAAGACAGAATTTCCTCAGGTCACTAGATACCCTCTAGGTGATAGTTCTTGATTACTTTTTGATAAATAATTCGTTCTTATTGCGAAATAAGAGCAATATTTATCAATCTGTAATAAAAGATGTGAGGAACTTCTGTCTTTTTTAAAGACAAACATTTTTGAGGCGAAATACCCAACAAGCAGTTTATGAAAAAATGGATAAGTCATGACACATTCTACGTAAGAGACTGTACATGAGATTGGGGAATTTTCGATCATTGGTTTGCGTAAAAAAACTGTTTTCGTCTGGGGCAACTTTTTAGCCGGTGCTGAAAAATATGTTTCATGTATAGGCTCTGACATATAATGTGTTATTCGCATAACATATATACCAAGGGCGGATCCAGGTCCCCCCATTCAATTCTCTATCCAACGATGCCAAAACGAATTATGTGGCTCGAATGGTTCTTGAGAAACTTCGAAAAAAGCAGCGTCATGTTCAA